TTTGTTTTATTCTTGGAATTCTTTTCATCGACGACCTGTTTTTTATTATTTTTGAAATGACTCTTCTCCCGATTGTGATTTTAAAATTATTCTAACACTTCCTTTCATATCCTCGAGATTCTTTTACTGCTACATTTTTTTGAACATTAGTCTCGTATCTTCCTTTTCTTAATTCTTTGATTGTCTTTGACTTTTTCGTTGTCAGCGACAAAACCTAGCACTGATTTCGAGTTATATTATTATTTCGTATCTCTTAGATGCATCGTGACCTCCAAAGTCCTTTGGAGGTTGGAGGTTGTAATTTTTACGACCGCGATCATCCTAGGGTCAATCAACACAAGTGATATGCAAGAATAATTGCATACGTTGCATCATCGGAACTTCGTGAAATGAAGAAGTGAATTTTGATGATGTACCGTGAAACGTGCATGATTTTAACGGCGGCCAGCAATCGTGGAGGTATTCCATTATTATTCATAGCTTACGATCACCGGACGAGGTATATTCACAATCAGCGACGAATCACGACTCCTTGATCGGTAATCAGATCCATTCGTGCTTTCGTGTATTCAGTTTATGACTATAACAAAGTCTTTCAATGTTTTTTTGTAGTAAAATATATCTTGTAATAATTGAGAAATAAAATCTATTAAAGTGTATAGTTTTGAATCTATATCATTTTTTATATAACTTTTATATTTTTTTATATTTTATATTTATATAATTTTTATATAAGCATGTTAAACATTTATAAATGATAGTTTAATATTTATAATTAAACTGTTATTATAATTATATTTATAATATAATTATAATTATATTTATAATATTTATAATATAATTATAATTATATTTATAATATTTATAATATAATTATAATTATATTTATAATATTTATAATATAATTATAATTATATTTATAATATTTATAATATAATTATAATTATATTTATAATATTTATAATATAATTATAATTATATTTATAATATTTATAATATAATTATAATTATATTTATAATATTTATAATTAACTGATATTTATAATTAAACGTTTATGATTTGAAATGTTAGACAGTTGTGAAATTAAATCTAAATAGAGATTGTTTAAAAATTATGTCGAATATGTTGATGTTAATTATATATGTTAATAATATTATTCATATTATTGTTATAAGATTTAAATTAATCTCATAATCTGTAATATTATATTATGCAAATTTGCAAGCATTTGTTGCCCATTCGAGATTAATAAAAATTTTATGAAAAGTTTTACGATTAATCGAAAAGTTTTCGTGAAACAAGCTTCGCAAATAGCAATAATTTAGTCGATACCATCGGTGCGAATGAACAGTGACGCAATTTTTCTCGCGCTTTCATATCTTGTGCGCGCATCGAAGTCTCCGGTTGTGCCATAGTAATTTCGAGCTGCGTTTTCGCGATTTTGGCAACTTTTATCTACATCATTAAAGGTCATAGAGATTTCATCAAATAATATTAATATTAATACATCTCGCGTTATAATCTTTCTCCTATTGACACTTAAAAAAATGCAAATTCTAGTGAAACTGCTATGATAGAATCGAAGAATCTGTAGATACGTTTTATATTATTCTCCATAGACACCTCGAACGGGGGCTTCTTTTTTTTTTTAAAATATCGGTGTAATCTGCTTCTTAAACGTTTTTAACCTTTTTAACTTTCAGCCAGGAGTTAATGGTACAATATTTTCTTCTTTACCGTTACGTCTCCATCGTGTTAACGTTCACATTTGCCGACATATATTTGCAGTTATCTATAATCGTATACACGTTTTTACATTTAAATCAGTAGTCCGCGTCCCTGTGGACAAGATTCGATAAAGATAATATTCAAAAGCGAGGCGTAACGAGCTTTTAAGTATAGTGCATTATAAAATTGCAATTGATTGCCATGGAATCGGAAATATGTATGTATACAAGGTGTATTGGCTAACCGCTGCTGCGCGACAGGATCGACTTATTAATTTCCTACTGATATACGGACCACACGTAAAGTATTTTAAATTGCAAATTGGCCCAATTAGTCAGGTCAACTATCCTTTGATTACGTCGACTTAATTATACGATGTTGGATCACGTCAATCCATTAATCAGTGTCTCGACGAGATTGTCCTACAGTTTCTCGATTCAAGTGAAATTTCTTCTTTTTTTTTTTCAGAAAATTATAGATTTTGTTGGGTTTCTCTGAACCTAAATAGTGTCGAATGGTATTGTTGGATTAGACAGATAATCGTCATAGTCATATCGTTTTACTAACACTTTTAGATACGTAATTTTAAATTTTGTATTTTACATTCTCCCTACAGAGATTAGTAACAAAATTAATACTTGGAAATAGCAACTTCTAAAACGAAAATACACGAGAAGAAGAGAAAAACAGAAATCTATAAAATTTCCATCTAGAAATTACAAATTGATCAATTGATTTAGTTGGCTTTGGTTCTTCGGTGTTAAATCAGATAAAAAATTCCACTTCATTTCATATATTTAGAAATTAGTGTCTAATGAAACTTAATCAAATAACCACAAAATTTTAAAATGAAATGATGTAAATTATTATTATAGCTTCTAGCCTATAAAATTATTATATCTTTTAATGTTCGATGATTAAGAGATCGAGAGATTTCTAATATCAAAAGTAGCTGGGAGAATCGTTTGAAATTGAAAAAATTAAAATCATATACCTATAGCTTCCTATCAGTGTAAGTGTTTGAAAATTCGAATTTTTCCAAAAAAAGTAACCCAACTAATAACTAACCCAAACCAAACGACGACTGAGATCCTAGTGCTGCACGTGAGCAATTCTTCGGTGAAGCGCAGCGGCAAGATCGTCCAGAAATACGTGGCCCGAGGACGATTTGCATGAACGGCTGGCGCAATCATTTCTGATGACATGGTTCAATTGGAAACGGTACGTGCATGTAACTGCTTCGATCCTGCGGAATAGGGCCCGCGGGACGAGCTACGAAACAGGGGAACGCAGCGACAGTGTCTCGACGATGAAACAAATTATTGTTAAAAGATCGAATTTGAGCGCTTTATATTTTTCGCGCGGCGCGAAATCGGACAATAATTCTCCAACTACTTATATAAATGCCTTTTATAAAATGTTCACTGTAGAAGCGGCAATTTGCCTTCAAAGGTTAAGTCGATGGTACTGTGGTTAAGTATTATAATACTTAACCATACGTAAAGGTTAAGTATTATAGTACTGTGCGCCAAGGAAGAATCTTTGACTTATTGTTAGTTTAATCGCGTTTCTGCCCGTATTGCTCGTTCATTTGCCACGATGTGAATCATTGAAGGGGTATTTCTATTTAAAAGAGTCAATAATTATGTAAATTATGTAAAGTGTATCTTTTTTTCTTGGAATTTTCCTTGAGGGTTTATATAATTCAAAGACGTGTATTTAAATAATGGTTTCGAAGAAGTAATGTCAGCTTACGCTTCTTAATACTTAATTGTTTGATCAATCAGTCCTCTTTTATAAAATGTTTCGTGGAGGAGAATATCTTTCACTTGGTAGAAAGAGAAGATTAAAAGTAACGAATGAATTGTTATGCAAAAGGTTTAAACTTCTTTCGCTCAAAACCATGTTTTACAAGCTAATTTCCATGACGTTTCAATAGCGAATAATCCCGTTTTTTTTTTTGAAATCGAAGAAATCGCACGTTATACATTTTTATTTATAAATCAAAGGAATGTTTTATTTCGAATCGTTTCGATCGAGTTGCAGCGGCTGGCAATCAATGTTCTGGGAAATAAGAATTTGAAACTAGTGGCATACCAATTTAAAAAAGGAATTAAAATATAAAGTTGAAAGTCGTGTTATACCTCAAATGAATTGGAACTTCCACTTAACAATTATTTATGAATAAAACTCGCAAACTTGTTTTTAAACGACAGCATTTACATTCCAGCTTAAAAGTATGTGCACACTTACTGTTTTAATAATGAATAGTCTATAGAATATACACACATAGTATATATAATGTATGTTAATAGTATGGACAAATTAGTTAATAAATTATGTTAATAATATGGATAAAGTTAGTTATTCAAATTTCTTGAATAAATACCAAATGTTTATTCGATACGTCTAATACTACAAAATTAAATGACAATATTGTGCTACCCACTATTAAACATGGAATTTCTCATGACAGACCATACTGAGATATTTTGGAGAGAATTTGTAGAATTTGTAGAAAGTAAACTTATTTATATTTCAGAGAAAGAACTCCACAGTGGATACGCAGGTAAAAAGAAGACGACACATAGAGATATACAATGAACTATTAGTAAAATATCCTCTCTGATATGTTTCAAACTGGAATAAAATCAATTTCAATTTTTGAATGATTTCATATCCTTCTTCCAAGCAGCTACGAAGAATAAAAAAAGTGTCTATATATAAGAGTATATATGTGATAAACTACTAGGAGGCAATTATAGTAAGAGAAGATGACAGGTAACGGAAACTGAGAATTCGGAAAGACACGGCCAGCAGTCCACTCTTCCATTTGACAGTTGCAATTTACACGTGGTATATATTTTTGATAAGAAAAAACGATGCTTTCAGCGTTCACTTTCTCGGAATCGTGGAGAAACGGATCTCCAGCCTTCTGGAGGGGATAAATGTCGCGGGATTCGTCATCGATCGATTGAAACGCAGCTCGAGTGACCATCGAGAAAATGGGACATCACGAGACGTGACTTACACGTGTGCGGTACCGTTGCGTGCACTCGATTTTTGTCGGATAATCGTACCAGCGAGAAATCGACAATGTTCTGCACTCGTCGTAATGATCGCGCATCGTCGAAAAAGAAAAAAAGAAAAAAGAAATGGCGAATATCCAGTTGGAGGATCTCCCGTGGAACTCGATCGACTCACTCGTGCGCGTTGATTGCGCTCATTAAAAAAAAAATAACCATACGGCGCGAGGATTAAAACGGCTTACCGTGAATATCACTCACGCAGATGTGAAGATCCTCCCGGAAGATGGGGAGGCCGTGGTTGCACTGACAGGTGCACGTGTTGTTGGGAGGAACGAGTCCTGCGGTCGAAGGACTCCGTGTATAAGGGCTGGCTGTTCCGCTGCTGAGCACCGTGCAAGCCTCTGCACAGGAACCTTGAACAATCGTGTTCGTCGATTTTAATTTTTAATCCGCGAATATAGACGCTCGTTTGTTGTCATGGTTGTTCGTGGTTTTTAATTAATTAGGCGAAGAACGGTTGAAAAGGAAAAAGAGCGCGTAGATTAATAATTAATTCAGATTGCAATTGGCTATTAGATTGATAAAGCGCGTATAAAGTTTCATGTAATCGAACTTTAATTGCGCGTAGTTTTTTCTAATCTACTTTTTCAACGACTGTCTCTTTTCGATACTCCAGATTTGTAAGAATTGATGATTTTAGAATGGAAAACTGTTAGAATTCATTCGTACACTCTTTTAAAATTACTTGTTTATAAATTTTTTAGAAATAACGTATGAATTGAAAGATTGCTTAAATGGAATGAAAATTACTTTTAATCTTTATAACACGTGATATTGTATTGTACTTAGATAAATATTACATAAATTTATATTTCTAACTATACTTATAAAAATTTAAGTAGTTATAATAAAATCACATGGACATTTTACTTATTAATTAATGTCAAGTATTCAAATTTCATGATTTTCCTTAAATATACGTGATGTACATATAATATAAAAAAATTTCTCCTTTTTTACACTAATAATTAATTATAATTGACAATGGGATATTTAATGTGTGCGTAAAAGTCAAATTTGAAAATGAAAGAACATTTTACACCAATCTAATACAGAAAACTGTAACTGTCGCAAATTATATTTTGTTCCTTACATTATAAGTTAAAAAAGTACATTCCATTACAAATTAATAAACGCATCGAAATCAAATTATGTAAACTTGCCAGAAGAAATATTAATCTAAGAAGAAACAGTCTAGCAACATTAGGAATATATTGGATACTATGCAAATATTTAGTTTATATCATTATTAATATTATTTTGTCATCGTAAAAATTTCTTTTGAGGAATTTTTTCGAAAAAAAAAATAGGAAGAAAAACATGTAATAATAAATATAATAAATATAATATAATAAATAATAAATATAAATATAATAGTTATAATAATAAATATAATAAATATAATAAATAATAAATATAAATGATAGTTTATAATAAATAATATATAGTAATAATAATAAAAAATAGTAAATATAATATAATAAATAATAAATATAAATAATCATATATTTATGATAGTTTAGAATAATAAATAATATATAGTAATAATAATAAATAATAAATATAATATATCGTAATAAAAATGTACTCATAGCAGCAAACGTTCGTAGATAAACTTCCAAGAGCGAAGAATTTCATCCGTACGGACGGAGCACGACATATAATCTGGTCAGGTGAAATACAGCTGTCAAATCGTTACATTGTAATTTCATGGCTAATCTGTTACGAGCTTTTTTCCTCCGGACCTTCCGTTTGTGTTTGTCGGACCCGCGTGAAACGTGTTCGCGCACCGTTGTTTTTAATATCGAATCCCGTAAATACGACTTCAACCCTGCAACCTCACGGTTGCGCAATTTACGGTTCCGCTCTTCCGCGAAAAAAAGAATAGAAGTTTCGTCTCGAAACGTCACCGGAGTGCTCGACAAAGATTGCTGAACAAAGATTGTTCTATAAAAAGGATTTGTAATTGCACTTAATGCGCGTCTTACCTTCCAATGTGAAAATATCTCCATCGGAGTGCCTGATGACCGAAAGCTCTTGAGAACGGACGATCTTGAGAACGTTCAAGCAGCCCGCGAGGACGAGGACTAGAAGACGCATCTTCTCCACTGCATTCTGAAACAAAGTGGAGCAAATTACGTTAACCCTTTTTCCTTTCGAGTTGAACGTTCGCGAGAAAATACGACAAAGGAACGCCTGTTCCCTGTTCGGTCACGAATAAATCAAACCTGGTTTTTCCCATGACTCTTTTTAAAAATATACTTTTGTATGTCTGATAATGAGTTTGCATAGTTATTATCAATAACTGAGGACTACAGAGGGAGGACATAATATTTGAATATGATTATGTATCAGATGAGTTGTATATAATTTTATGTACGTTGTCAGATCTAATGTGATACATACGAACATTATAAATTATATGTATATCCAAATGTTTCTATAATAAATAGGTATGTATCACATTTTTGTTTTTTTATTACTAAACAAGTAGTTTATATATAAGTCACATTTTTGTTCTTCACTATAAGAGAGAAATTTTAAAATTAATAAAAACAGTTTCATTTGTATGTTCAAAACGAAATAATTTGGATAATTTTAATTTTTAAAATACTGACTATAATTCAAAACTATCCTCGGTTTTTTCTCCAGACTCTCGAGAATTTAACAAATTTACTTATAAATTTTCTATTTTAATTTTATTTCATAGTTATTTGTGTTGTTCCATTGTAAATACTATTTTCTAAAGTCTACAAAAACGGATCTATGATTTTCAATACTCTCTACCGCATTTCGTTTGAACGATATATATAATTTTAATATAATTAATTTTAAATATATAATTTCAATATAATTAATTTTAAATATATAATTTCAATATAATTAATTTTAAATATATAATTTCAATATAATTAATTTTAAATATATAATTTTAATATAATTAATTTTAAACATATAATTTTAATATAATTAATTTTAAATATATAATTTTAATATAATTTTAATATAATTAATTTTAAATATATAATTTTAACATAATTAATTTTAAATATATAATTTTAATATAATTAATTTTAAATATATAATTTCAATATAATTAATTTTAAATATATAATTTCAATATAATTAATTTTAAATATATAATTTTAATATAATTAATTTTAAATATATAATTTTAATAGAATTTAAACGTGAAGATCTCATACAATCTTATTTCAACGAGAGTCCCATTTTACGAGAGTAAAACGCTGGGGTCGAAAAAATGAAGAACTCCTTTGTTCGGAGAATTATTCGGGATCGAACTTCTGTCGGAGCATCGAGCAAGACTGGTAGCAAGAAAGGATGAGTTTCGGTGAATCTCCCCCCGGTAGGAAGGCATTCCAGCCGCTTCTTACGCGTTTCCCATCGTTTGGACTTATCTCACGCGTGCCATCGGCTCGATTGTGCATAACGTGGACACACGTTGCGTTGATGCGCCGCTCGCGACATGCATCGAACGTGTAATTTATGCCTGCTTCGCGCGCGCCCGTAGTTTACCGTAAACGCGCGCGCACGCCGGGATACGATTCCAGCTTGTAGGAAGAGTCATCTTCAGCGTCTTTTTTTTTTTCCTTTTTTCTTTTTTCTTTTTTGCAAGTACGGAAGCAACATACCGCGCTGGACACGGTGCCGCGAACAGTAATTTCGCGTTCGAGAAGTCCCGTCATGCGGGGGGAAGTAATATTCCAGAATAGAGCAGCGATGAATTTGCAACGAAACACACCGATCGCGTTATCTAAATGTAAATATGGGAATGGAATATGTACTGATGGACGAGGCGGAAGAAACGACTTTAGTTAGCCGAGAAGAATACTTTTAAACATTTAAAAAGTGAAATGTTTCACGTGGACCGTTTATTTCGAAAGTTTTTTTTTTTTTTTGAGACAACTGGGAAAATGGAAAATATATTTTAACTCTCATTCGTTTCTTCGATGTCAAATTGATAAAAAGTTAACATTTACAGTGGGGGAATAAATAGTTAGATTTCTAGGAATCTCCTTTTATTTTCTTGTATTTTTATTGACAAGAGATAGATTAAATTTTGTGAAATAAATTCAGTTGCGTGTAAGACGCTCTCACGTGTGTCACAGGTTACATCAATTTCATATCGTGATATTATTTTCTTTAGTTATGATCATTTGTTAGTTCTCTGGTTTTTTCTAGTTATGATCATTTGCTTTGGACTCGTTACAATTATGTTCCGAAATTATCAATGTCTGTACGCATAGTATAATAATAATTAGAAGATAGTGTATTGCCTGACAAAGAATTTGGAAAAGAATATTATCGTTTGCCACTCTAACAGCATGTTTCGTTATTGAAAATATCGAATATATATATATATTGTATGTTAAAAATATCTGTATATTACATTTTATAAGAAAAATATGTCAAATTGACACAGGGAATACATGAAGTTTCAAACTTTTTGTTTACAAATTATATAAAATTCAATTCTTAAAATATTCGTTTGTTTTGACTAATTAAAATTTCATTTGTAAATAGACGTAAACGCAAATCCTTCGTGTATTGAAAAGAATGTAACTCTAATTAAGCATTTTATTCAAAAAGCGGTTGGACATTCTATAGCAAACAGTGCAAATGTTGTTGATAAAGAAATTACACAAAAGAGATTACCCACACAAATAGAGATAAAGACAGATAAATAGATAGATAGAGAGAGACAATTTAATGAGTATTTAATGAGTTATTCAAGTCTTTCCATTTAATTTCCTATATGTAGTAAGAATTACGTCAGCGCGCTGCTTTTGTTTTCGAACTTTCGTTTGTATCGAGCGAAAAATATCCGTGGCACAATGTAACGAATACTAAATTTGATACTAAATACTAATCTGGTCACCCATGGCGACCACGAGCGATTTTTTTTGTCGCAACAAGACTGCTGATGATTTACGAAAGCGAGGGATCTCTTTATTAAAGAGATTCATTTCTAAATAGTTGTCGACGCCGCAAACGTGACGAATCGACGAGAGAACGGAGGAAGATCTCACACAAGCAACGCTCGATCGCTATAAAACATTTAAAGGCTGATTAATTACAGATATTAATTTCCGTCAACAGATGCGGCCGCGCGTTTTTATTACTTCAACCTTATAATCACTTTAATTTCATGGTTACGCCTTTCAGACGATATATTTCCCTCGGCAAATCTGAGAATTATCTCATAATTGATTGCCGGATCTCGAATCAAAAGTGTGGATGTTTAAAAATTTGCTGGAATTAGCTTTCCTCGACGTTTCGTCGCGACTCACTCGTGCAAGCGAAATTTATACGTCTCTAATGACGTAATAGTTCTTCTACGTTGGTGAGACGTGTTTTCTGAGCAAGACGATGACAACGAACGGATCGTGAATTCATATTTCTGAAAGTGCAATTAAAAAAATAAAGAACAAGTTTTACCGAATATTGCAGGAAGCACCGAATATTGCAGGTTCATTGTCGATATTTTATATTACGTTTACATTGCACTTTTACAATTTCCACACGAATATGTGGTCTAATAACGAAATTTAAATAAAAATAGAACATTTATTTGTATAAGTAGATTGAAGAACAGTATCAAAATTAGGTATTTTCAGAAAATATAAATATTAGGATAAGAGGAACACCGAAATTATTTTAGCTTAATGAGTGTAAAATTAATATCATTATCGTTTATATGATAACTGAAGCATTCTACATTTTAAAGGAATGCAAGATTATTACTGACATAATCAACCATATGATGACTAATTCTCTTAATGTCATACCGAATTTATTTTAGTACAATCAGTTCTCATTGGACGATTTTAATAATTTTAATTACGTTTGAAGCACGTTATTATCAATGTTAGCTTTTTTAATGAAAAAAGGAAAGAAGTCCAAGATTTATTTTAACTATTTGAGATTCATACTGAAATTAGGAAAATTTAACTACAGGTAAGCAAATACGAACATTTATCTACGTTAGTATTCTTCTATTATAAAATCAGTGTCATTAATGATACAAAATTATTCTTTCAAATATTACTAAATATAGTTTTTCGCTTGGCTCTTGTTCTTTAACTTACTGCCGTCGAATTTCTTTTCTTTTCTCCGCTATATATTTTCGTAATTTAATACGACTGGGCAGATTTTATAAATTATTAAAGTACGAAATTACTGCAAAGTGAAAAACAAAAGGTGTCTAATGGAATGCCAGATGGTCGATAGAGGCATGCGTTCGATCCAGAAATAGTCTGTTCATCCTTTAAAGTCCTTCCTCGACTGTTAAAGTGCCCCTTTTGGGCTGTTGAGGTCCAGTGTGATCGGATCTAAAGACTCTGCGGTAGACTCGGAGAAAAAGGAGCGCACACACACACACACACACACACACACACACACACACACACACACACACGTTGAATGTTGAATGTTCGTTCAAAGAAACGCATACGTTCCTTCTTCCGATTAATTGTTCTCTCCCCAGTTAATTGCTTCTAGAATGAATAGCTACCAGAATGAAATGTGAAGTCCGTGGTATTGGTTGTTCAGGGATTCTTTCTAGTCCCGCTTCAAATTTACGGCGTGATTTACTTTCGTTCTTTACCAGTCTCTCGATTTCTCCGATAGCCGGCCCGTGATCATGTTCTATTTGAGCAGCAAAGACACCGGTTTATAATATCGAAGGGAAGATCGCTCGTTACTAGACTGTGATTTTTTAATTTCATTTATAGAGGAAATTTTAAAATACTAAAGAATGGATATGAACATTGAAATAGTGATGTTTATCTTACATTTATATTAATTATCACTTTTAAAGATATGACTTTCTGAAATTTATATTTATATTTACATTTGTGTTAATTATATTTGCATAAGTAGGATGGATGTGTAAAATACGCAGCCAATTCATTATTTTGTCCTAATGTATCAGTGATGTTTAAAACTCTATTTTATTAGGCAAGACTCCATCAATTTTGATTGGTTCTCATATCGTACGATTCATAGAAGCTACAAGATTTATGAACAGAATATTTTCTGTTGGGACGTGTGAAAGATGAAAATATGAAAATCACAGCAATGTATATTGTCTA